AGACGTGAATCGTCCCCGATATTCTTTTCGCCCTTCGCTAAGAATCGGGACTGTAACAACAGTTCGCTACAACTTTCCAGAAATTTGATTCTGTTCCAAGACAAATCGAGTTTACGGACTTGGGAACATATTATAACCGTAAACGTATTTCTTGGGATTCGCGGTGTGATCAAGTTCGAAACGACTTGGGTAAACTTTCGATGTATATGGTGGCCCTTGAATACTGTCAGAGTTTATCATGTCATGCTTTATTTATTTTTAATCCTTTGACTTATAACATCGAGTCAAATGTAACAAACTTAGATGTTATTTGCATGAAGATGGAGTTTTGAATTTGATAGCAATTTTTATTTAATTTAATGTAATCTAACCTAACACTCTTTTTTATTTAAGAACGTTAAAAGAGATTTAGACATATACATATAGATAATGCTAGATATACTTTAATTATTTACTAACTTACATCTAACATTATTTAGCTTAATACCGCAGTAACAATAAATCCTGATCCAACTATCAAAATTATAGGTTAAGTTAGCTTAAAGCCATCACTAGAAGTTTCTCTACAGAAGTGCAGAAGTTAAAAATTTGGAAGCTTCGTTTCGAAGTTCCAAAGAAATTGATTCATTTGGTATTGAGTAAGAGAAAGGAACGACTATGGACATATTTCTTGAAATCCTAAGTGCGATAAAGTTTGTAACGACCAAACTGCCACCTGACACGAAACTTTTGAAGATATACACATGTCAGAATGCCTCGTGAATATAACCGTTGTCCCTTAGTTTACCAAGTTAAACTTCGTAATAGAAAGCGAGATGACGAATGATACTCGAGAGAATCACCACTAGAGAGAAGTATTGACCCAGGGCCAGCGGCACAATACACCGGGGCAAGTTTTACTTGCTCGAACTTCGAGCTGTGTGTTAAGCATGCATATCTCTCGGCCAGTGTTAGCCAAGTGTCATATCAGGGACTTTAATGTACTTTTAACAAGTTTACAGTCATGGCGTGCAATTACAAAAATTAATACTCATTGTAACTCATAGAGGACGCGATTGGATAAATATGTCGTATAATATTTTTTATGAAATTAACTTTTCAGTGTACTATTTTTAAAGGATGATTGCATCGATCGTATTGATGAGTAATATTGATTGATTGCAGCAATTAATTGTACTGATCGATTGACTAAATGTATTGATTGGTATTGACTAATTGTACTGATCGATTTCATTAATTAACTATATTGATTGATTGCAGCAATTGTACTGATCGATTGACTAAATGTATTGATTGGTATTGACTGATTGTACTGATTGATTTCATTGATTAACAATATTGATTGATTGCAGCAATTGTACTAATCAATTGATTAAATGTATTGATTGGTATTGACTGATTGTACTGATTGATTTCATTGATTAACAATATTGATTGATTGCATCGATTAGTTGTATTGATCGATCGGACTAATTAACTATTTCGATTGATCACATTGACTAATTACATTGAACGATTGCATTGATTACATGTATTGCACTAAAAGTTCCAATCGAGACTCTTTAAATCAACTTATCAGCAAATAATGAATTCGTGACACGATTTTCTCCACACATGTATCCACATTGTAATATTAATATCATTAATATTACCAACAGTTATTAACACCTCAGTGAACATTTATCAAGGGACTGAATATCAGTAATGTTCCTATCGTACATCGTCCAACAGTCGATATGCGTCCACACCCATATCAACAGTTATCTCGCGTTATATCGCCACCTGTCGCACATTCAAGCGTTACACCAATGCTCAGCAAAAACCTGCCCAGACACTTGTTTAAGACTTTAGCTGAAAAGTGGTGCAAGTACACTCACGGAAGAAACTCGCACAGTTCATTCATCGACGTCAGTGGTCGGTGGTTCCACGTTATTCTGGCACCGAATTCGCTGCATTCTCGAGCGAGTAACACGGTAGGAGGACATATATTTCCCGTGGAAATAAATGAACGGGTTGGCCCCTATTGTTGCTAATTAAAGCGGTAGGTTCACGGTTACCGATCTATTCTAGTAAATTGCATCGACCGTAGCCGCACCACTTTTGAGCCGAGCATATTGCGGCCGAGATTTACGTCTTGTTAACGTCACGGTTTAGTTAGCAGGCCCTAGCTCTGTCCGCGAAACCGTGGACACCGCTACAAATCATTCTCGATAATCCGTGTGCTCGCTCGTTTTACGCGTATCGCACGTGCGACTAAATTTAACCGCACGATTCCGCTTATATACGCGCCGCCTCTCTTTGCTGAATCGTTCTGACCGGTTAATTGAATTGAATTATGCGCATCCGTGCTTCCGGTCTGGATTAGGTACCGCCAATGATAAATACGAATATTGATCAGCCATTGATCTTTTGCCGCCTCTTTTCAACCCCTCCGATATCGAAACTGTGTCGTATAGCTCATTAATTATACCAGTATACCTCTTTTTATCCTATTTTGTCTAAATATGATCTGCTGATTAAATTTAATTATTACTGTTTTGTATGATCAATGCTATTTTGTGTGAATATTATTAATCATGTTTAAATATAATTATTACTGTTTATGAATATGATCAGTGCTATTTTGTTCAAATATAATTAATGATGTTTTGTTTGAATATAATTAGTGACGTTCTGCTTAAATGCAATTAATCCTCTTTTTTTATAAATATAATCAATGCTACTATATTTAAATATAATTAATATTTTTCCTAAATACAATTATTACAATACGAGATAAAACCAATGCTATTTTATCCAAACATAATTATTTTGCCCAAATATAATTATTACAATAAATAATTTTAAACTGCAAAATTAAATGCCAGAAAAGTTTCACCAAAACAAAAAGTTTATAAAAAAAAAATTGTTAAACAATTGTAAATGAATATGTCCAATTAAAAAATAAGTCCCTTATTTGTCTTTCTAGACAGGGTGGTTTCCGATGTGACAGAAAGTAGTGGTAGTGTAATGGGGCTTTGCTGGCAGAAAAATATGGTGAGCTTCTTCCGTGAAACGCATTAGCGAAAGTTGAAAGCTGATTATAGCTAAGTCAGTATGTTTCATGTCAGATTTGTTTGATGTCTGATAGGTGCTTTATTGCAACGCTGGTAAGCTATGGTTTTTACCGACAAATTCCTCTGGTATAAAAGTTGAAACATAGTTCACTTTCCATGCAATCAAAATTATTATCTTGATACGATTACTACTGGAATTATGATTATTAATTTTTATGTATGAAATATACAGATTGTCTTTTATATTAAATACGTAATTTTTTGTTATTAATATTAAAGAAGACAGTGGTACTGAAAAAAGTATTGGAACATATGAGATTTTAAACACCCTATATGTATGCCTACATATGTGTATATGTGTGTACCCATATGTGTACTATTCACGTTCATTATTCAGAAACCCCCATAAGTCTTTAATTAATTTTTTAATTAATTAAGTACCTTGAGATATCTTTTTATCACCCTACATACTTGAAACGATATCAAGATTTATAAATCTAGTTACAAGCACAAAATTTTCGACGAAGAAAAATATTGTCGCAAACGCATGATCGACTCAATTTCCTCGAATTCATCGCAATTTTGTTCTCGATAAGGTCTCGTGTTTTCAGAAACAGCAAATATATCTCGGGACAGTTTCTCCTCGAAACGATCTATTACTTCCTGCCTGTACTTCATCTGGTCTTTTTCTTTCCAGCCAATAAACGTTTCACCGTAAACTTCGCCTAACTTAACGTCAATTCGCAAGATCGATCGGGCGGCTTACCTAGAAAGTATACCGACCGCATAATTCCCGACTTCCTGCAGCGGACGATACTTTATCACAATTCTTCTTACTGGTATGTCATTATTTTTTGATTCCTTATTAAACTGACTATCACTGGCATCATTGGTAACCACTACCTCATATTTAACTCAATTAACTAACAAATAGGAAGAAAGACCTTGAGTTCAAAATTGATCTTGGAAATTAGTGTATAATCATCTTTAACGGCATCATTGCGAAACGATAGTATCACAGAATGCATGAAAATAGCTATTTTGCAATAATACTTATTGTTGTATGCATAATAATTGTTTGTTATTAAGAGAAATTTTGTGAGTTGTAGGATAATGTAACTGAGTATTCGTAGCTAGACTGTGGATGTTTATAAATTTATAATATAGATGGATTATGTATGGCATTGTAATTCATATGTGAATATATTGTGGCTGATGTATGGATATATTCTAAATCATGTGTGGATACATTGTGGATTATATGTGGATGCATTGTACCTCACATGTGGATGTATTATGGACCATACAATATGAATATAGTATTACTCATATGTGGATGCATCTTAAATCATATGTGGATATACTGTATCTCGTGTGTGAATGCATTGTAATTCATATGTGGATATATTGTGAATGATGTATGGATATAATGTGAATTATTAGTGTATGTATTGTGGACCATATGTGGATATAGTGTAACTCATATGTGAATGCATTGTGGATCATATATGGACATATTGCATCTCATGTGTGAATGCATTGTAATTCATATGTGGATATATTGTAGCTGATATGTGAATACATTGTGAATCATGTGTGTATGTATTGTGGATCATATGTAGATACATTGCAGCTCATATGTGAATGTATTGTAATTCATACATGTATACATTGTACCTCATATGAGAATACATAGTGAATCATATGTGAATATACTGTGGATCATATGTGAATATACTGTGGATTATATGTAGACATATTACGAATCATATGTAAATATATGTATGAAAATATATTGCGAGTCATATGTGAATATACTATGTATCATATGTGGACCTATTACGAATCATACGTCGATGTATCATAGCTCAAATATGAACACAATTAAAATACCCAAAATTTAAAATAAAATAACGTTTCAAAGAAAATTGAAAATGAACTCACCTCTTCGCCCCGGACGTCCCTGTACCGAACCCACTTGCCAAGCTTCGGCCTCCAATACTCGAGCATGTAAGCTTCCGAGTATTCGACACCTTGGCCGTTGCCAAAGCGGCCTTGAGTGCCGGTGGCGGTGATCATGTGGACCGTGTGAAGATCGATTTCCAGCCACTCGCGTGGTTCCGTCGTGATCTGCTGCTTCGGGCACCAGGCACCTCCGTGGCTCTCTTGCCTCAGCCTGCAACAAGGGTAAATATTTACTCTGAGATTACCGACCCTTACTTCTTTTTTTTCCTTTTTCTTTCCTCTCTCTCTCTATACTATCTTCCCCCTCGAGGAAGCTGGCAATGCTTTTTTTAACGTGTCGTCCGGGAAAACGACTCTGAATCATTTCTGGGGAGCTGAATTGTAGCGACAGATATGTTGAAAGATGTTTTCATTCTTTTTTTTCATCGCAACATGTCAAGGTTGGTTCTTATTATTTAAATATGGGTGACGTTATTTTCTTTTTTTTGGTATGTTCTTTTGGGGTTAGTGGAAGTAAGCTAGGATAATTTAGTGAGTAACAGATTTTGAGATTTTGAGTGCATATAATGTTGAGTGCATATAGGTAAGGTACGTAAGGTACATATAGATTTCTAGATATGGCTTGTAGATTATATTATATTGTACTACACAATATTTATCTTCCACACTTAACATCTTCTATACTTAAATTCCTACATTTCTGTACTTTTAAATCTCTGAGTCTCTGTACCTTTAAATCTCTATACTTCTGCATATACTTGAATCCCAACATTCCTAAATCCTCACACCCTCACACCCCTCTAAATTCCTATTTTCCAACATCCCTATACAACAAAAATCCCCCTTCGCAAGAAACAAAGTTCCAAAAGGATCGAGTTTATCCCACACCGATTGTATGCAGAGGCTGCAATTGACGTGCCGATAAGAATCAGCCGATAAGGGGAAAGCAAAGAGGATGACAGTATAATCGGAAATGTTACGTCGTCGCAGAAAGGAAATCGTACAAATACGTGATCCTGCTGGTGGCTGACGGATAACCGTCACCTCGCTCGGGCCGATACGGGGTGAAATTATAATTTATCGATCGAGCCGAGCCACCGGATGGCATGAATTAAAGATGAGCTGGCGCCGCCACGAGAACGACGAACGGGGAAGCCACTTCGAGAGCCGGCTAATAATTGTATTCGCACATACCTTTCGCGGGCTCGTCCACGGCATTAAAAAGCTCCCTTCTCTTAAGCCGTGATTGCCGCGGAAAAAAGAGCGTCTTACGGAAGGAATGCTGGCACCGATTCCACGAACATCCAAGGAAACCTTCGATTCAATCGCCTCGACGTCTTACTCCTCACGTTTGACGCCATTAGCGCCTTACTTGAGAAAATATCCTCGTTCGAAGGCGATTTTTTATCGGGAATTCAATTGGTACATTAAGCTCTTCGCATTCTTACTTCAGAGAATCTTTGGAACTTCTATGCATTCTGTGTTAACTATTTGGCATGAATATTTTATTTAACCGACATGAATATTTTTGGTGCAACTAGTTTAAGTAATTATTTTAATACAATTACGTCTGACGCAGGAGTCTCAATGTCTGATTCTTTACAACGAATTTATTTCAAATTTTATAGAAATTATTTTTGTTCAAACTTAAGTAATTATTTCAATACAACTACGTCTGACACATGACTCTTATGGGCAGATTCTCTACAACGAATTTATTTCAAATTTTATAGAAATTATTTTTGTTGAAATTCTGCATAAAAAGTGTAATCTTTGATCGAACGTTAACAGAGACATTTTTTTAATCAATGCACCGACTGAATTTATTTGCCGACTTGTTTTATCTGTACGCAAACATTTAATCGAACCACCGAGTTTATTTTAGTCCACTTTGATAATTTATATGACAATAAACATCGTATATAGATATCGATCGAACGATACACCTCGTTCGGGGAAAATTAATCAGCAAACTGAAAAATTGCGCAAACTAAACCGAACATGTAAACAGGATTATCGATTCAGTTTGTTCGTGTAAATTTGCATGCGCAAATTAGCTTGTGCAAATTGCGAGCGTGTATACTCAGCTTTACACGAACGAAATATTCGACAAGAAAATACACCATGATTTCATTTTTTTTGGGTAATAAGATAAAAAGCTTCTCTTCCCGATTTCATACGTCATTTATACGTCTTACTATTCGTGAAAATTAAAGTTCCCTCGGTTCCTTCAATCCCTCTTAACGTAGCCACTTCCAAACTCAATTTCAACTATTAAAAAAAATAAAACAGAAAGGTATCAACGCGACTTTCTGCGGTTCTTTGCTCGAGATTACTTCTTGAACAGCCGAGCCCCGAAGGGGGCGGCAAAGGGACGAAAGCTTTGGCGAGAGAGCGTGAAGGGAAAATGTTAGGAAGCCAAGATGGACGCTCGAACGAATTTCGTTCAAATCCAACTTATACCCTTCTATTCGAAACTTGTCCGACAACTTAACATTTTTAAGTGTGGACACATTTAACAAATTTATTTATATGTACCTCATTTAAGAAATTTATTTATATGTACCTCATTTAAGAAATTCATTTATATGTACCTCATTTAAGAAATTTATTTATACGTACCTCATTTAAGAAATTTATTTATATGTACCTCGTTTAAGAAATTTATTTATATGTACCTCATTTAAGAAATTTATTTATATGCACACATTTAAGAAATTTATTTATATGTACCTCATTTAAGAAATTTATTTAAATAAACACATTTAACAAATTTATACATATGTTCACATTTAACAAATTTATTTATACGTATAAATTTAACATTTTATGTACACATTCATATCATGTATAATTTTCTATTCATATAACACAGTGATCATATAAATATGCTAAAATGTATGTATAAATTATCTGAAACAGCAATAAAATGAAAGGCAAAATTTGTGGTTACTTGTCAGAAACTTCAAAAACAGTTTTATTTGAAGAGAAGATTTATGGACGTACAAGAAGTGATTCAAGAGATACTCATCACAAAATTAATTATTATTGTTGAAGAAAGAACAAACATAAAATAGAATAAGTCTTATTTAACCTGCATATGCAATACATGTCTATAAATGGATGAGAATAGAGATTTGTTGAGTGGTGACAAAACAAGAGTCCACTGAATATACCGCAGTAAAAGAGAAAATTTATGAACGTACAAAAAGTGGTTCAAGAGATACTGGTGTTCATCACAAAATTAGTTATCCTTGCCAAACAGATCATCCACATAAAATAGAATAAGTCATATAGAGCTGCATATACATAGAAAACTAGATATGAAGATTGAGGTTAGGTTAACTAGATATAACAAATAAGCACCAGAATTGAAGTTATACCAAAACTATCTGAGGAGTCAAATTCATGAGAATATAGCCTCATGTGTAGCCTAGTAGAGCCCCTACCGAACGTACCACAGTGCAGTAATAAAGAGATGATCTCCGTGTCAAGCCTTTAGCCCCAGCAGTAAAAGTAGCTTTCGAAGGAAAAGAATGAAACAGGACAAACTAAGGTAAACAGGAACCCGTAGGTCAAACGGATAAGACGCTCGCAGCGAAAGGCCATAACTCATAGCCCATTAAGAGAGCTCGAACTGGCTCACTCGGCTGCCACTTTGATACAGTCCAGGGCATCAAAGACATTCCGCGAGCACCAGCCGGGTCCACGATAAATCTCCGGGCGGTACGATTACACCGGGACTTCAGCCACGAGCTGCCTCGTCGGCGAAATCGCCGAAAACGCGAACCGGCCGATTATCGAGAGGAATGGTTTGTCGAACGCGGACCACGCTCAGACTTACGATCCGTCCGGGCGGAGATGATTTGTTGCCTCCGGCGAAGAGCCGTACGCTCTTTGTGACCCGCTGAAGTTCGTTTGATGAAAATGTTCTCTTCCGTGAACGAGAGTTTACGGACGGAATTTGCGGAGGCGTTCTTTCAGGGTAAGGTTTATTCTTATAACTGAAACGTGTGAACTGGTTCAAAATAAAACTGCAATATGTAGTAACGGGAATGTGTAGAATAATCACAAGAATGTCCTTTAACGGAACATATATGTGGACAAGCATTTGTCTGATGGACGAGACGAACTTTATGTCCGAACAGTCGTAAATAACACTTTATGTAGGGACAGATATGTGGTGTCTGAAGCTAGAGATAACGTAGGTCAGTGTCTAAGGAAAATACCTAGAAAGATACTAGAGTGTCCACAAAGAGTGTCTAGATGCTTTGTAACTATACCCAAAGACAATGTTTAAAAATAAGGTGTCAGGAGTATTGTCTTGAATATCTACCTCCTATTGGAGAGCACATATGATCATATGTAGATGTACCTAAAGACAATATTATACCTAAAGACAATGTTTAAAAATGAAGTTTCAAGACTATTGTCTTGAATATCTATCTCCTATTGGAGATCAGAGCACATGTGATCATATGTGGATGTGCAGAGATGTGGACAACGTGTTCCATGTAGTCCATATGTGAGATACGAATAAAATATAAGAAGCACAGGTAACTATACCTAAAGACAATGTTTAAAAATAAAGTTTCAACACTATTGCCTTGAATATCTATATCCTATTGGAGAGCACATATGATCATATGTGGATGTGCAGAGATGTGGACAACGTATTCCATGTAGTCAATATATGAGGTACGAATAAAATATAAGAAGCACAGGTAACTATACCTAAAGACAATGTTTAAAAATAAAGTTTCAACACTATTGCCTTGAATATCTATCTCCTATTGGAGATCAGAGCACATATGACCATATGTAGATGTATAGAGATGTTACACATGTTCTGTGTAATCCATATGTCAGGTACGAATAAAATATAAGAAGCACAGGTAATACAAGTTAGATTCGCGTATTTTAGGGTAAACGAGTCGCCTGGGGTAAATAGGGTATTCACCGGGAAGCCCGTGGTATCAGGAAGCCATGAGAATGTCGTCGAAGAAGGTCTAGACGGTACAGGTAGTGTGTGAGCAAGCGCCGATATCGGTATTGCATCGAAAAGGCTTTCCTTGCTTTCTATCGCGGCCAAAAGGACAAACCCTCATGTAGCTTCTTAAACCACCAATTATCGTCGACATTGACGCAGCTTTTCGTCGGAATTCCATAGACCATAAACATGTTCGCGCCTTCGTAGTCCCACGCTTGTGTACACGACGTTTAAAGCCCGCAGGACCACCCATCGCTATCAAAGGAGTCCGTAAATGTCATCCGCGTTAATAAAACGGTTTTTAACGCACGATATACAACGAACGTATCAACGAAAGAATAGCGAATTTGCATGCCGGTCAGATGAATATTCATCCTCTATCTTAAACATCCTCTTTAACAAGCTGACTAGTCTGTCTACCTCTCATACTTATGACTACCTGTCATTTTTTTCCCAGGTAAAAGTTACGATCGTTCTTTGCTAAATTTTAAAGATGATTTCATAACCTTAATCCTTGATGAGGATATATAAATAACGGCAACTGATCATCGTTGACGGGGTACATTTTTTCACGTTGAACCGCCAACGACGATTCATTAACGCCACGGGTGGTCCTTGTTTCGATTCGTGTTTTGGAGGCCTCTCTATATTTGGCTAGTCCATCCTTAGTTGCAAATGATAATTAGGAGGCTTTGAGGCGACGTACAATTCACTTAGTTGGGAGGATATGTAGGAATATTGGACATCTGATGTTCTCTGGGTTATTCTTAGAGTGTTTCAGACCTTGCGGGGTTAGAGGGAGAGTCGAGGGAGGAGAGTGGTAAGATAGGTACTTGGGAATTTGAGAATTTGTAGGTTGGTAAGTTGGGGATTTGGGGGTTTCGGGATTTGGGAGATTTGGGATTTGGGAGATTTGGGATTTGGGAGATTTGGGATTTGGGAGATTTGGGATTTGGGAGATTTGGGATTTGGGAGATTTGGGATTTGGGAGATTTGGGATTTGGGAGATTTGGGATTTGGGAGATTTGGGATTTGGGAGATTTGGGATTTGGGAGATTTGGGATTTGGGAGATTTGGGATTTGGGAGATTTGGGATTTGGGAGATTTGGGATTTGGGAGATTTGGGATTTGGGAGATTTGGGATTTGGGAGATTTGGGATTTGGGAGATTTGGGATTTGGGAGATTTGGGATTTGGGAGATTTGGGATTTGGGAGATTTGGGATTTGGGAGATTTGGGATTTGGGAGATTTGGGATTTGGGAGATTTGGGATTTGGGAGATTTGGGATTTGGGAGATTTGGGATTTGGGAGATTTGGGATTTGGGAGATTTGGGATTTGGGAGATTTGGGATTTGGGAGATTTGGGATTTGGGAGATTTGGGATTTGGGAGATTTGGGATTTGGGAGATTTGGGATTTGGGAGATTTGGGATTTGGGAGATTTGGGATTTGGGAGATTTGGGATTTGGGAGATTTGGGATTTGGGAGATTTGGGATTTGGGAGATTTGGGATTTGGGAGATTTGGGATTTGGGAGATTTGGGATTTGGGAGATTTGGGATTTGGGAGATTTGGGATTTGGGAGATTTGGGATTTGGGAGATTTGGGATTTGGGAGATTTGGGATTTGGGAGATTTGGGATTTGGGAGATTTGGGATTTGGGAGATTTGGGATTTGGGAGATTTGGGATTTGGGAGATTTGGGATTTGGGAGATTTGGGATTTGGGAGATTTGGGATTTGGGAGATTTGGGATTTGGGAGATTTGGGATTTGGGAGATTTGGGATTTGGGAGATTTGGGATTTGGGAGATTTGGGATTTGGGAGATTTGGGATTTGGGAGATTTGGGATTTGGGAGATTTGGGATTTGGGAGATTTGGGATTTGGGAGATTTGGGATTTGGGAGATTTGGGATTTGGGAGATTTGGGATTTGGGAGATTTGGGATTTGGGAGATTTGGGATTTGGGAGATTTGGGATTTGGGAGATTTGGGATTTGGGAGATTTGGGATTTGGGAGATTTGGGATTTGGGAGATTTGGGATTTGGGAGATTTGGGATTTGGGAGATTTGGGATTTGGGAGATTTGGGATTTGGGAGATTTGGGATTTGGGAGATTTGGGATTTGGGAGATTTGGGATTTGGGAGATTTGGGATTTGGGAGATTTGGGATTTGGGAGATTTGGGATTTGGGAGATTTGGGATTTGGGAGATTTGGGATTTGGGAGATTTGGGATTTGGGAGATTTGGGATTTGGGAGATTTGGGATTTGGGAGATTTGGGATTTGGGAGATTTGGGATTTGGGAGATTTGGGATTTGGGAGATTTGGGATTTGGGAGATTTGGGATTTGGGAGATTTGGGATTTGGGAGATTTGGAATTTGGGAGATTTGGAATTTGAGAGATTTGGAATTTGGGAGATTTGGGATTTCAGAGATTTGGAATTTGAAAGTTTCGGAAATTTAAGAACTCGAAAACTTGAGAATTTGGGAAATTTAAGAATTCGAAAGCTTGAGAATTTGGAAATATGAGAACTCGAAAACTTGAGAATTCGAAATCTTGAGAACTTAGAAAGTTGAAAACTCGAAAATTTGGAACTCAACAAATTTCTACATTTACAAGTTTAAGAATTTACAAATTTACAATTCACAAACGAGCATGTTAGACTACAAACAATAAAAAAGCCTAAAATTTGAAAATGATCAATAAATAAAAGAACCACCCTTTCCTCTCGAGCTACTCTCACATCACACCTGATCTCCCACAACAAAAGAAACACAACGTCTAAGAGGTTCGAAACAGTCGATACAAAATGGTTCCGTATGCGGGACTCCGACGTCATTAATCCTCATTGCGGCCTGAAGGTCGAATTAGACGTGCAGTTTAGTAGTCGGTGATTAATACGGTGACCTGGACCGAGTCCTGATCGTGAGCTATCTCGACCGCAGACAGGATGACGGACAGGAAGAGGATCATCCGTTTAAGCCGTAGAAAGCGTTCACAGTCAGAAATGTTATCGTGCTGCACACCGACGACTCTTCTTCCCTGTCTTTTTTTTGTTCTGTCGTCGAACTTTGCCGTACAATCGGCCTCGCATCAATCTGCATCGCGTTTTAAACCGACTATCGTCTCTCTGACAAATCTCTGTTGTCCGGAAAAGAACCTGACGACATTATTTATCTGCGGCAGACAAATTCACGTTGCGTTTTTCGCATAATTTTTGGTCGTCGAGGTTGGTTTTGAAAAATTATTCTGCACGCGTTATTTTGGGTTTAACAAAAATTTTTAATATTTTTATAAATAGATGTTTTTAAGATTTTGTGAAGGTTTTGTTTTGAAGATTAAAATTATTTTTTTGATTTTATGGTACTTGTATTGTTTGTAGTGACATATCAAGTTTTTGTCATAAATTTAAAATTGTAGAAATAAAAGAAGTGTTTAATGTTGGTGAGTCATGTTAGGTTATGTCACATGAGTGGTCTCAGAAGAAAAAGAAGTCTGTTATAATTTTGTGACACAGTATTATAAAATAGTACTCTAAGAACATTAATTTGGAGGTTAGATTAGAATCTCAGGATGCACGTCTCGACAATAAAATGGCCGTCGTAACGTCTTAATACAAAATGGCTGTCGTAACACTTAATACAAAATGGCCTCTTAGAACGAACAGTGAATTAGAACAAAATTAAAAATATTATGAATAAGTGCATTTCGTCAACAACCTGAAAAGAAATATAATTAAATTGAATAGAATAAATCTGAATAAGAATAGATTAAGATTTGACGATAAACGTGGACGAAATATAGACGTGAGAATATCAGAAAATAATTGAAAAGTCCTTTCACAAAGCGCAACAAGAGTCTTCCCCTAGGAGATCGCTTCAATTTAGCCAACGAATAGGTCGCTTAACGAAGCGCACTGATTTCGGGAAATTGCATCGCTGTTCCCCGGGCGGTGCAACAAAGGGGTTAATTTTATCATATTTCCGAATGTGTATTGCATCGCATCTGCATAATGCGTTCTATAAACGAGACGGTAATACACGGTAATTCACTCACCGTCCGTGATGTGGCCCGACATTTCCGCTATCGAAACTCGAGCTCGCTGTGATGTCTGCATCGGGAATCACACCAGATTCCATCCCCAGGGGTGCGATGCATTGTGCTGCAAACAAAGGAAATTGCTTTCATTATACACACGTTTCGTACTCGTCCACTTTTCGCCGCGAGGAGAACGATCATTATTCGAAAGCTCTAATTATCCGCGACAATTCTGACGTTAATCAGTATGTCATGCGAAATATTCATATCTTTCGTTTTACATGGCGTTCGTTACTAGGCTACACTAGGTTACATGCGTCATTTTGACGCATTTCAAACTTTTAGGAAAATTACAAAACATATTTTTACAAGTTCTCATTTTTATTTTACTGTACTGACTTTTATACATTGGACGAGGTAAATATTTATTGAAGTCTATTTTCATCAAAAACTCAAATATTGAAATTTGTTATGTGGTATAAAATACATACTTATTAATATTTAATGTACATAAATATTTAACATAAACATTTAAAGTAAAAATGATAGCAGAATGACATTAAAGTCTAAAATTGACTTCATGTTCAAAACTGTGAAGACAACATGTCACCACCTTTCCCTGTTTATATCTCCAACCCTCAAGTATAATAATTACAGTCCCCAAACTCCTAATTCCCGTGATCAGAGTTATAATTAACCCGTGAACAATTAAATCGAGCAACTGGAAGAGTGTTTACGGGTCCACAGTTTGTGGACTTAAGTCGAGGCAGCAAACGAGGCCGATAATCGTCGACGCTTTCGGAGCGGATTCAGGAAGCAGCTGTCGTTGCCCGACGTTCGGTGTCCAAATTCGCTGTCGGTTTTATCGAGCTCACGGTTTCTCGTTAAACGACCGTATATTATCCTCGCGATTCCCGAGAAGTCCACGCGTTCGAATAAACAGATACTCTCTTTGATGGTGTTTTCTCGACGCCCGTTTTTATGCGACGCCGATGCAGACGCTCGCGTGTTCCAACGTCGTAGCGAAACTACTTCAGACGTGTAATTTCGGAACCACGAAAATACTGCTCGTGTCTTGAAACAATGATTGAAAAGCGTTTCATGGCGCACTGACGGTGTCGTTAAGGGGATGAAAAGGGATGACAAGAAATAATTATAGTTTTTGTGTTTGATAGGTATAATTTTACGAACAATCTCATTTTGTATTAGTTTTTACTTTCAAACACACACGTTATGTTATGTTCAAACCTTAGGTTACTTAGGTTCAAGTATATAGATGGGTTATGTTATAGGTTATGTTTAGATTATTTTTATGTTATGTATATATATTCGTATCAATTTTGTAGAACTTTCAAACCCACAAGTTATACTCAAACATAACCTTATGTTCAAACTTGTAAGTTTAGATGGGTTATGTTTTAGGTTATGTTTACATTATTTTTAGCTTATGTATGTGTTATGTATAGGTTGTGTATATATATTCGTATAAATTTTATACAACTTTCAAGCTCACAGATTATGTTCAAACAGAACCTGTATATATTTAGATGTATCATATTATAGGTTATGTTTGCACCATGTATAGGTTAAGCATAAGTTATGTTCACATACCTAGTTGTCAACAGAAATGAAAATCAGAGGTACATTCATTGTCTTAACCTTGCAAAATCATTATAATTATTGTGCCATTTGCAGTATTATAACCGCATGATGTCTGCATTCAATTCGCAGTCCCAAAATGGCGGACTCTCCCTCCAAACAGTCCAATGAATTTCATACTAATTCATATGTATTAATATATGTATTAATATATGTATTAATATATGTTCAATATGGCGCACTCAAATGAATTTTTTGTCATAATATTAACAACGAAACTCAACGTTGTTGGATATATTAATAAAAGTGATTTAGCAGCACGTTCGACAATCTGATGGAGACGATAGGTACCAGTCCGTATTTTTGCGGCGTGTTTTTCGCGAGATTAAAGTCCTAATCCGAGCAGCGAACTTTCCTCGTAAATAAATTTTTAACGAGATACACATACGGTTCCGGGGGCGCGGGTCGCGGCCCCGTGCAAGTTTTACGGCTCGACGGCCGCTTATTTCTGGTAATTAACTTCTCTATACGGAGCCACTTGTTCCCGGGAGTTGAACCGACTCGCGTACAACACCGTTTTTGCCGTATGAAATTTCTTCGCCGCCGCTTTTTTCCGTCTTCCATGCGAAACTCGTCGACCGACCGCTAACACCGAGCCTCGTGATTTTACAACGAAATCCTTTCAGCGTAATTGCTCTTGTTTTACGAGCTGAACTGGCCGTGCCAATAAATTCGCCGAATTTATGAGTTAAAGGGAACTGCGTCGATAATCTTGAACGCCGAGGAATTGAAGTATCGACGGTGATCGATTGGTTAATAATTTTTTGCGTGTCGAGGATATTTCGAAATTTTATCCACAGTTACATACTGCTGAAGTTTTATATCTTCACTGAAATCTGCACCTCGGAATGAGAATCAGAATGACCTCGAATTTTTAGACATCTCAGAAAAATCTCAATTTAAAAATTTCATTGGTGTCAGAAAAATTTTATGTATATCAGAAAAATTTAAATTTAAATCAAACAAATTTTATGACAGTCAAATGTTAATATATTTATTCATTAAGATAATAAATTTTGTACTTGTTACAAAGAAGTGAATCAAGTGAAAGATTTAAAAATTTCATTGTAGTCAGCAGAATTTTATGTAAATCAGAAAAGTATTGTATGAGCTGATGCACTAAGTGAATTCAAGTACTGAATGCATACAAATATTGAATAATACTATTATTGATCAGAATAATAAATTTTGTATTGTTACAAGGAAATGAACCAAGTAAAAGATTTAGCAATAATCTTACAAATGGAGCAAATGACAGATTGAATGTGGTGCAAGGGATCCGAGATTGATTGTTTAAATGCTGACAAGGAAAACAGAAAGGGAAAGCATGTGAAGAAAGTATTTAAGAGAGCGATTAGAGGAAAGCCCTGTTGTGAAGGAGTGACAGGGGAAAGGAAAACACAATCTCGGAATTACAAGACACGTTCGAACAAACACGTCAGCCTTCGTAATTCAAGTGTAGTTCGTAAAAATAAAGTATGAGATTGGACGGGCCACTTGTGTTTCGTGACTCAACGAAAACCATAACACACTTTTCCGAGAGACAAGTGCTACACGACTTTAGCCAATGTAAAAGTTACCCTGAAATTGAGCTTCAAGGTAACAGAAGTCTTTCACTGGAAATTACTAACGTCAGAAAATAAAATAAAATAAGGTCATGAACAACCCTTATCTCTACATAAGATGGACAATGTTACAACGTAACTCGTGTAAAAATACTTATAAATAATGCATACAATACAGACTATTAATGATAATAAAGAGTAGCAGTAGTTAATTAAAAAAAGAATATAGTATTCAAAAATATTTTAGAGTTTGAAAAATAACTTGCTGCATTAATAATAATTGAAGGTGTCCATTTCACCTTAACCGACTAGAAGTTAATGGCTGAAGGACCTAACATCCCTTGGACAATAAAAATTCTGCAACCCTTGTTCGACCGGTAAATGGTACCAGTCGATCAAGCTTTCGCAGCGATTACGATCGTTTACACGCCACTAGTGTTTCCCGTTTGGGTCTCGCCGAAGGATCCCGCAGGAACAAGGGACTCGTGTCGGCGGGTGACGCGGCGGGCAGGTTCGATCCTCGTATTTATAGACATCCTGGAAAAGAGCAGAACGGGAGAAGAAGAAGAAGAAGAAGTAAGTTATGCGACGTTTGTCCCGCCCCAGCCACTCATTCGGCGACCATAACTCTCACAGAGTGACAGCTTCGAACGGAAGGGTGTGTGCCGCCCTCCATCCGCGAGAAGAGGGAAATTGAATGCCTTCGCAACCCCTCCTCGCGACTTCTTCTCTCCTTTCTTCGCCATCTGGTCCTCGTGCTTCCTCGCTTAACCGCGTCACTGTCAACTTGATAACCGCTTCTTTCTGTCAGGGATGTCTTCTGCTGGAAGGCGTTGCTTGCCGGAAGTCGAGGGAACAAAAAAATGATCGTACCACTTGATTTCGACGATTTAAATAATTCATACGAAAAGAGGGGAGATTTGTTCTGGAGTTGTCGCGAGGGATGCTCTGAAAACCACTATTAACGGGTAATTGCTGGTGAAAGGCTCTAATTGACTGGGGAAGGGTTGTATTGGCCACAAAGTAAATGTGATGACTTTCATCAGGTAATATTAAACAAATTTTTACCATTAAACTATGTGCATTGTAAAATTAACTATGTGCAATTGTAAATAATAAATGATCACTATTCCAAATGGACTAAGTTGATTTTAGCAAACTTCTAAGAAACACGAAACGAATTTTATGATGAACTGTAAGGGTTGCTATAAAAACTGTTCCATTCTTCCTCTTTTTCAAATAATTAAAGACAGTCAACCCCATGAAATATTAGCTGAAAAAATATCGTGTGAAAATAACAAAACTAAGACCTTAAATATAAGACATCAATGACAAATATAAAATAGCACCACAGATAACAGGATATGAAATGAATCTTAGTCAAAAATCTAATAAAATCCTCGGGCAATAATTCAGAATAAATGTCCTCGAAGAAATAGTCATCGCAGATAATTGTTTTCAACCCTTGTTTGTCACGAAAGAAGCTGATGGACCTATTTTAGCTCGATGTTAAGCGAATTAAGCCAGGGGTAGGTTTTCGTTGATTGGCGAAAGAAATAGAAAGGCAGAAGCAACAACGAGATTTTCTATCTCGACGAATTTAATAATTCCACCTCGACCCGCCTTTGTTAACTCTACAATTATTATTAATGACGATGTACGAGGGTCGAGGTCTGACCTCGCCGTTGTTGATCTCTTCTCTCTTCCTCTCTTCGTTCTTACTCGTTTCCCTAGTACGGCACGGGCGTGAATGTAAATTAATTACTCGCCGGGTCTTTCGCGAAAAACATATTAAGCGCCCCACCTTATTACGGCACGATATTACGGCATAAATCATGACTCACTTACGGATTACTGTTTTTCATAGGGACAGCCAGTGTAGCCCCTCGGCTAATCGAAA